AGAGCTTTATCCTTATCTTGGTTAAGTCCCCTCTTTACCTTAGGACTCTTGTCCCTTATCTGCTTATCTCGGATTCCGATATCTTCGGGGATAACCTCGGCAACTCCGAGATCATCTCGGCTTAACTACCAGGACACGTGGCACCTCGACTGACACGTCGACGTCACCATGCCACGTGTTGGTATTCAGAAAATATATCCCCACAATATATATAATATAATATTAAATTATATATTTTTTCAATAAAAAAACCCAGGGTGGTGGTAGGTTTGTTTGACTCAAATCCCTTCCATATATTTATTTTTTCTCGTTGTCTCATTTATGTAGTTTCTACGGCTGAGGTGCAACGGTTGAAATATTCAAACAGAAGAAAAATAAGGAAGGATGGTTATATTTTCTATCCTATAAAAGCAGCACTACGCAAAGAAGAAAAGTAAGAGAAGTAAAAAGAAAAATTTGTGATATTTAAGAGTTTTCAAAATACTGTTTGGTGTGCTTTCATTAAGTTATAATTTTTTTGAGGGAAAATTTATTGAAAAATTGAGCTTTTATTGTAAAAAGATTTATATCCTTTATTCTTATTCTTGTAAAAAGAGTAATATTTTTGTGAGTGATTTTTTTAGATAAAATCACTTGTTTAGGTGTGACTAGGTATCAGATTCTAAACTAGTTAGAGTGATTCAGTTTGGTCGCTTGTTGCAAAGGTTTACTAGCACCCGTGAAACTAATGATGTATTACTGTTTGAAGAATAGTGAAGAAATTCCCAATAAAGATACTTGGAGAGTAGATGTAGATTTGGGTTGAGCCGAACTATTATAAATCGCTAAGTTTGATTTATCTTCCCTTTACTCATTTTATTTTTATTACTCTAATTTGTATTGCTTCTTATTTTTATTTATTTATTATTTAGGTTAATTTTTTAATTTAGCAATTTATTTAGAAACTCAATTCATCCTCTCTCTTGAGTTGTTTTCTAGATAATGCAAACCTTAAGGGCCTGTTTGATTAGATAGACTACGCCTCCGTTTGGGAAGTAGGTTGGCTTTTTGACTTTTTGACTTTTTGACTTTTTTAACTATTTTAGCCTGGGGCTAAAAAGCCTAGTTTGGGAAGGACTTTTTGACTTTTTTGACTTTTTAGCTTTTTGGTGATGTGTCTTCATGGTAAATTACCAAACTACCCTTCACATAATTAATACATGTGAAGGAATTGGTTTTGCACCTCCACGTCACTTGATGGCGTAGACCACAATTAGGAATGGCAACAGGGTGGGGCGGGGCGGGGCCGGGGATCACCCTCCCCATCCCCGATCCCCGAAACTACAAAAATCCCCGTCCCCGGCCCCGATCCCCGACGGGGAACTCATCACTCCCCCCAACCCCGCCCCCAACGGGGATCGGGTTTCCCCGACCCCGGAAAATCCCCGTACTCATCATCAACAACATCATAATATTTTTATAAATAGAGTTTGAATTTATTTTTATAAATTATTTTTATAACTCATAACCAAACACATAATTCGAAAATCCATATTACTTTTACAACTCTACACTCAAATCATAACCAAATACATAACAAAAAAATTAAAATATTTAAAAATATTTTTATAAATAGAGTTTGAATTTATTTTTATAAATTATTTTTATAACTCATAACCAAACACATAATTCGAAAATCCATATTACTTTTACAACTCTACACTCAAATCATAACCAAATACATAACAAAAAAATTAAAATATTTAAAAATATTTTTATAAATAGAGTTTGAATTTATTTTTATAAATTATTTTTATAACTCATAACCAAACACATAATTCGAAAATCCATATTACTTTTACAACTCTACACTCAAATCATAACCAAATACATAACAAAAAAATTAAAATATTTAAAAATATTTTTATAAATAGAGTTTGAATTTATTTTTATAAATTATTTTTATAACTCATAACCAAACACATAATTCGAAAATCCATATTACTTTTACAACTCTACACTCAAATCATAACCAAATACATAACAAAAAAATTAAAATATTTAAAAATATTTTTATAAATAGAGTTTGAATTTATTTTTATAAATTATTTTTATAACTCATAACCAAACACATAATTCGAAAATCCATATTACTTTTACAACTCTACACTCAAATCATAACCAAATACATAACAAAAAAATTAAAATATTTAAAAATATTTTTATAAATAGAGTTTGAATTTATTTTTATAAATTATTTTTATAACTCATAACCAAACACATAATTCGAAAATCCATATTACTTTTACAACTCTACACTCAAATCATAACCAAATACATAACAAAAAAATTAAAATATTTAAAAATATTTTTATAAATAGAGTTTGAATTTATTTTTATAAATTATTTTTATAACTCATAACCAAACACATAATTCGAAAATCCATATTACTTTTACAACTCTACACTCAAATCATAACCAAATACATAACAAAAAAATTAAAATATTTAAAAATATTTTTATAAATAGAGTTTGAATTTATTTTTATAAATTATTTTTATAACTCATAACCAAACACATAATTCGAAAATCCATATTACTTTTACAACTCTACACTCAAATCATAACCAAATACATAACAAAAAAATTAAAATATTTAAAAATATTTTTATAAATAGAGTTTGAATTTATTTTTATAAATTATTTTTATAACTCATAACCAAACACATAATTCGAAAATCCATATTACTTTTACAACTCTACACTCAAATCATAACCAAATACATAACAAAAAAATTAAAATATTTAAAAATATTTTTATAAATAGAGTTTGAATTTATTTTTATAAATTATTTTTATAACTCATAACCAAACACATAATTCGAAAATCCATATTACTTTTACAACTCTACACTCAAATCATAACCAAATACATAACAAAAAAATTAAAATATTTAAAAATATTTTTATAAATAGAGTTTGAATTTATTTTTATAAATTATTTTTATAACTCATAACCAAACACATAATTCGAAAATCCATATTACTTTTACAACTCTACACTCAAATCATAACCAAATACATAACAAAAAAATTAAAATATTTAAAAATATTTTTATAAATAGAGTTTGAATTTATTTTTATAAAATATTTTTAAAAAAAACAAAAAATTGTTTTTAATTTTTTTTTCAACTGTATTTTAAGTTTTTTTCCTGGGAAAAGGTTTTTTTTGGGAATTTTTTTTTTTTTTTTACTTTTCATGTGCTGAGGCGATGCCCCTGCAAATCATGTGGGGTAGTTTCGTAATTTTAGCTGGGCATTAATTGTTGCCAAGCAGAAAGTTTTTGTCTTCACTTGGCTAATTAAGCCTGTTTTGTCCTGTAATGGCTAATTTAACCTGAAACTTGCTTCCCAAACACATATAGCATTGAATTGAAATTATTAATCATTCTAATGTTTGCTTGAAATTCTTGTTATTCAAATCAGATTTCAATAAATATTTTATTTAACAAAATTGACCGATAATAATGAAAAATAACCATATAATTAGAAGGGTTAATTACACTAACATATGTTGAGATTTGAAAAATATATAATAAGTCCCATAGTTTTAATATAATTACATTGAATTTCTTTGAGATTTTAATTTATATAGCACTTTTTCTCTTTTTTATTGGCACTATTTGGGAAGAAGGTTTGGAAGTTTTTTTTGGCTATTTTAGCTACAAAAGACAAAATAGACTATTTTAGTCACAACAAATAAAGCATCACATCAAACTCATAATCATTACACTATTCTCTCAGAAAAAAGGCCAAAAAGTCAAAAAGTCCTTCCGAAACCAAGCTTTTTAGCACAAGCTAAAATAGTCAAAAAAACTAAAAAATCAAAAAGTCAAAAAGCAACTCACTTCCCAAACGACACCTTTGTTAGTTATATGGATGAAAAAATAATATCATATTTTTTACACAAAAATGTATATTTTATATTTTTTGCATTATTTTTGGTCTATTAAACCTCACTAAAAGGGAGACTAATTTAATTATGTTAACACAGTGAGAATTATTGTATTTTTTTTAAACCTCAAGAAAGATTAGTATAATTTACCCTAATTAAAATTATATATTTTAATATCTATTACAAAATAAACATAAATAAAAGAGAATTAATTATTCCACTAACCGAATTGAATGATCATTCTTATACTAATTTTATGAATTATTAATTAGTGTAAACACTTTTGACTCCATGAAGTGAGAGTGAAACAAATTTTAAGAATCGACTTCTACCATACACGAACGAGAGTTGCACCATTATAAAAATGAAATGATTTGCCCATTACTCTACTTAAATGTAACTTTTTTTTGGTAAGGCAAGAGACTCATATTTTAGATTAACAAATTCATTCACAATAATGTAATAAAAAAGGTAAGCTTTATATATCATTAGATGTATAACTAATTAAAAGTTGACACCTATCACCAATCATATTATTTAAAGCGTGAAAAATTTTATTATACATACTACATATTATATACATTTTTAATTACGTTATTTTTTTAATTAATTATTATTAATTTTTTCAATTAAAATATTATTTTGAGATATTTAATTATAATTTTTTTTGTATTTAATTATAATTTTTTTTATTATAACTCAAAAATTATAATTATATAATTATATTATTATTTTTAATTATAAAATATACATTTCTCAATTATTGTGTACCATAGTCTGTCTATGTACTGCCAAATTGTAAGAATTTTTTTCATTTTTTATGGAACTCAAATATTTTTTTTATAATAGAGTGAAGCAAAGAGAAGGGTCTTTTTCTTCTTAAATAATTTTCTCCCTCTATCTTAATTCATTCGCAATTTACAATTATTAAATATATCTTGATTCACTCACAATTATTAAATATATATTTAAATTTTTCACATTTTAAAATTTTTAATAACATCTTTACATTTTAAAATTCTCATATCGTGTAATTAAGACAGGCGACAAAGGTATCCTTGCACTGAGGCGAATGTAAACCAGTCATTTTATGGCTAAGATCAACCTCATTCGCTCTCCTTACCAAAACGCAACAACACCCCCATTCCATTTGTTACACTAAAAACAAGACCAAACCAAAATGGCCAGCAGCACACATCTTTACGACCACATTTTCCGGCCAATTCCCTGCGTCCGTCTCAGTTCCCGGCGACTCACCGCCACCAAACTCGCCGGACATCCTCTCTCTCCTCCCGAACACTCCAAAGCTGCAAACTTTGCCATCAATATCAAAACTGACCAAAAATCGAAGTGGGTCGTTAGACTGAGCTTGGTGGAGCAAAGCCCACCAAAATCAACGGTGGACGTGAAACGGCTGGTGGGTTCCTTGTACGAGGACCTTCCCCATCTGTTTGATGATCAGGGAATTGATCGGACGGCGTACGATGAACGGGTCAAGTTTCGGGACCCGATTACAAAGCATGATAGCATTAGTGGGTACCTCTTCAACATTGCCCTCTTGAAGAAGCTATTCAGTCCTGATTTTGAGTTGCACTGGGTCAAACAGGTGTGTGCTTTTTTCTTTTTCTTGCAGTTTATACAACTCTATATATAGATGCATTGTCATATGCATATATGTTGGTCAGCTGGGGTGGATAACAAGAACCCAAATGAAGGGTTTTTATATGTTTTTTGGTCACACACAGATTTTAAAAGTGATGTTAGTTAGTTACTACTGTCCAAATGTAATATAAAGTAATTAATTTTGTGGTGCAAACCCAGTGGCAGAGTCAGGAATTAGGCCGAGCAGAGGGGGCTATACTAAGGCAATTGGGTCGGATCGATTTGGAACTTAAAGTTTAGTTTGGTTTGATTTGGTAAAAAATTAATTGTTAATATTTTACAAGTATTCCAATATCATACATTTCCGTTAAATAAATTTTGTGTACTATTCAAATATGTAAATTTGAGAAACATATTCAAAATTTAAGACCAAAAAATATTTTTTGAAAGTTGAGGAGATGCACGTGCCCTCCTCGACCTATAGTGACCGCCACTGTGCCCTATAGTGACTTCGCCACTGTGCGCACCTTCAAAAGTTACTAATGAATGTGGAACCACACAATGTGGCTATTAATGCTTAGTAGCAGGACCTCCTACTTGGAAGATATTTCTTAATCAAAAACACGATTCCACGCGCCTAAGTAAAAACTTGTAAGAAACTTGCTCCCAATTGAAATAGAACCTCTTGAAAATACAAATCTCCTAGAAACAAAAGAAAATAACTTAAACTTATTCTAATAGTTTCTATTTGCATAATGTCTATTTATACTAAACAAAGACAATTTGTAGTTGACATCAATCTCTAATATTTATCCATATTTTAACATGTATATTAAAACTAAATAGAAAAAATAATTATTATAATATATTCATACATTTACTATATAAAATATGTACATGCTCTCATAGGCTTTCCCAATTTTAGAAACTTCTATATGTAATCCCCCGACCCTGCTCCTGCTCCCGCTCCCGCTCCCATCCCCACCCTATTTTGTGAAACTAAAAGCTAATATGATCGATTATGATATGACATAATGTGTGTGGCAACCATGTCAATAGTAACTGATCACATTATGTAGTGACTAATTGTTACCATGGCAACATAATGGCCACACATTAGGATGTGCATGATGTGCCTTTTAAGGGTGCACACCCAGACTGTCCCATGTAAGTCTGATGTACAGTTATGAATCATAACCCTAAACCCTAAACTTATAACTTACGACACTGATTTAGTAAATCTTATACTCATTGTGATGGTATATAATGTTGAGAGGTCTCCCATTGCATTAACTCTGCCACTTAGGGAGACTCTATTTAGCAAGTGTGAAATTGTAAGTTTAACAAGCTTAAAATTATATGCTTCATTTTGAAATTAGTAGTTTTGGGTGTTTTACAAGAAAGGTACTTATGCAGTTATGACAGGTGACATGGGATCCAACTAAACTCGATTCAAGTACACAGAAAGTTCCATAAAGGAGCTAATTAGGCAATATGTGATTAAGCAGTTAACTGTTTAGTTCAGTTGCACCACTTGAAATGCATCCATTCCAATCTTTATCTTGGATGAGACATAAAATTATCTTTAGCTTTCTGGGATATTTTTGTGCTAAATAGTCCAATGGGTGTGAATAACTTCACTGTTACTTTCAGCACATAGTTGCTTCAGTGTTGGTGGCACTTTGTAAATAGGACTCTTTGAAATGAGGTTGCAGGGCATCTTTCCATGTCAATTACTAAAAAGATCCTTTAAAGTCATCAACTTCTGTTTTGAATCTGTTCTTTGGTGTGTGGAGAGAGAGCATGGGGATGCAGGAGCGTCCAAAATCCAGTTTAGATTTTGCATCTTCGATTAATTGAGTTGCTATAGACAGGACCTTTTGAAATAACCACAAGATGGACTATGACAATGACGTTCATTCTGCTGCCATGGAAACCAGAATTGGTTTTCACGGGGACTTCAGTTATGGGCATCAACCCTCAGACCGAGAAGTTTTGCAGCCACGTGGTACGGTTCCCCCTCCCTGAAATTAAAATTATGGTGTATTATCAAGTAGTGTTTTACTTCTTTCTTTCTTTCTTTCTTCTCCCCACCCCCCTAATTTGGTATTTCCCTTCATTTTGTAGGATTATTGGGATTCTATTAAAAACAATAGCTATTTTTCTTTAGAAGGTCTATTGGATGTAATAAAGCAGGTACTTCCCATTAAATTTTCAAAATTTTGTATGCACTATTTGGTGTCCCGTCTCATAGATATGTTTGTCTAATTTCTTGCAGCTGCGGATTTACAAGACTCCAGACTTGGAATCGCCCAAATATCAGATACTGAAGAAGACTGCAGACTATGAGGTTTGTCATTCTATTTTTAGAAGGATTGTTGCAGCTGTATCAACTTATGCTGTTATTACTATCTACCACTATCTATCTCCATGGCATTGGTTTAGACTCAAAGAGAAGACTATGCTTGATATTTAAATGAAGTAATATGATAGGAAAGTATTTGCTCTGTTTGGTTTCGTTTTCAATTTTGTTTTTTGAAAAAATTTTCAAAAAATTTAAAATTAGTTTGGTGAAAATAATGAAAAAACTAAAAACACTCATCATTTTCATACGATTTTCTCTTTTTGGAGTGAAAATTTCTTTTTGGGCATTTATTTTCGTCAAACTATTTTCTTTTTCCTTTTTTTTAAAAAAAAAAAAACAGATTCTGAACTGTTTGGTTCCTCTTGCCATATTTATTTCCATCTGTGGATCCCCTGTGTTGCATCACCCCCACGTTGTTGGGCCTGTCTAGGCTCTTCTTGTCCGGCCCCACAGCATGTAGGGGCTGTTATGGTCATGCTCAAAGACATGCTAGTCACACCCACCTACCTTTTTAGTCCAGGAAAAAAAGTTCATCACTTCATAGAACATTATGGTTGAATATAAACGTATTATATAGGCTTGATTAGATTTTGTAACTCCAATTACAGGTTAGAAAGTACCCCCCATTTATTGTTGTAGAGACAAATGGTGACAAGCTGTCCGGTTCAACTGGCTTTAATGCAGTAGCTGGGTCAGTGTGCTTTTTAATCTAATTCAGTTACATGCCTTTTCTTTTGTGATTTCTTTCTCTTTAGCCTGACAAATTGAGATTTAATCCCATCTGTGCAGGTATATCTTTGGGAAGAATTCTGCAAAAGAGAAGATGCCCATGACTACTCCTGTCTTCACTCAGACATTTGACACTGAAATGTCCAAAGTATCCCTCCAAATAGTTCTTCCGTCTGAGAAAGAAATGAGCAGGTGAAGTTTATCAACTGTATTAGGTTATCAAACAGTTAAAAATAAAACCACTTAAAATAGTAATTTCAAATTCTTGTTAATGATGTGACTGGCTCACTTTGACTCTAAGAAGTACAAACACAGGCATGGGCACACATGGGTATGGACAGGGACATAGTGATTTTGAAAAAAATTGCGATATGGACATAGGGCAAAAAAAAGTTTAGTTCTATATATTTGTGTTTGCTATGTGTATGAATTATGGATGTAAATTTAGGGCATAGAGATCTATGAGGCATTATGTGGGTGTATTTTTGTTTGTTTCCACTTTCTTCCCTGTTTTGTTTCCATATATTTTACTCACCCCAAATCAGCTTTCTAAAATTATAAAATAAAATAAAGAGAAAAAAGAAAACCCATAAAGGTGTTTTAATGTGTATCCAAACATAGGACACACATGACGTCCGTGAAGTCGACATGTCCCATTTTGGAGTGTTTGTGCTTTCTAGCTTTGACCTCACGTATATAACACAGAAAACTTGATACTGCTTGGGAAAAAATTTTAAATTTTCCATTGAACTTACACGTTCAAATTCAATAATGCAATAGATGTGTATATTGACCAGTTTGCCAGATCCCAACGAAGAAGCAATTAACTTGAGGAAAGTGGAAGGAGGCATTGCTGCAGTATCAAAGTTCAGTGGAAAGCCCACAGAGGATGTTGTTATTGAGAAAGAGAAAGCACTTCGCTCTAGTCTTATTAGGGATGGTCTCAGACCTAAAATGGGTTGTTTGCTTGCTCGCTACAATGATCCTGGTCGGACGTGGAGCTTTATGATGGTATGATCAAAGAAGTCCCTTCAAGCATATGATTTTCAAGTACTCTAAATTGCTTTTACTCTGCTTAGAATTTCTTCTATATCTTTGTGAGTCAAAACTTTGAATAATCTGATTAACGGTTCGTACATGTGGGGAAGAACAAATACTCTAGCATTGGGAATAGTTCACTCCAAATAATAAATATCTTTAATTCAATGCAAGAATGAAGTAAGATTTAGGTGTTTTTATGTCTAGCAATATCTAGCTACTCAACATTGACATGGATAAAAAATAAAACTTTAAATATTTTCCCTGTTTGGTGTTGTTTAAATTAGAGTAGGGATATTCTAGATTTCCTCTCTTTTCCTTTATTTATTTTTTTTACTACCAGACAGAGCAGCATGAAAATTCCTATGAAATCCAAAGGTTACGCCATTTGTATCCTCGTAAAGTTTGTGATGCTTCAAGGTTAGTGAGCCATGAGTCTAATCTGATGACAAGCAAAGTCAGTGCAGCGGCGGCCCAATTATTTGACTGTTAGTTTTGTTGCTTTTGTAACCTGAAGACGAATGAGCATGCCTAAACTCTGCATTCTCATACTCGAGTTACCTTTAGCCTTAGCTTTTGCTACGTTCATTTATTGTTGGGGGGGTTTAGGCGAAATTTTGACTGTAATTTTCTAGATTATGAGGAACAACTCTTTCAGGAATTACGATAGACTAGCTAGCCTCACTAGGTCAATAGAGTGGTTGAAGCTCCTAGTTGTGTTCTACTTTCTTGAATGTCAAACATGATCTTATGCCTGGTAAATAGACCTCTATTTGAGCACAGTGAGAGGGGGATTAGTAGGGTCAGCGCAGTGAGATTCGTGGAATTTATCATTCTTTTATGTATGCATTTGGAAACTAAGACTACTGAGATATTTTCCATCAGTGCCTCGTTTTAAGAATCATCAATTTACATGAGAACCACTCTATGTATACCTCTATCCCTTAGCATCGGCTTTGCCATTTACCAAAAAGGTTTCTAACCCATTTTGTTTTTTGGACATCACATGATATCATATTTATCTGTGTCAAAATCTGTCTCATTTCAACTAGGCTTCATTGATCATATTGGAATTCTGAACTTTCTTTTGCTGCCCGATGTTGCTTCATCATATGCTTGACTACTTTTTGTTTCCCCCTTTACATCATATCATATTTTAATGAAACGAATTCTATTTATTTGATTCACTGCATGCAATTTATTTTAGTGTATCCTTAATGTTTAGAGAAAATACATTGAGCCCCATAAATTTGAGATAATTACATTAAACTACCTCAAGGTTTAATTCATATAACACTTCGTCCCATTTTCATCAATAATTCGTTAGCTGTATGAATGAAAAAAAAAATGTTATTGTCATCTCTTTTCTACTGAAATGTATATATTACCTTATTTGTCCTTCTGCCTTAACATTATTTGCATTAGTTTTGATTACTTTAGTCTTGCTAAAAAGGGGGCCCAGTGTAATTATCTAAACTTGTTAGGCTTGTTGTATTTTTTCTAAACCTAAGAGGTGTTCAGTATAATACACCCTTTATTTTATTTGTCTACTTTGTCAGATTGTTATGATCTCTAAAATATTTATTTGTGTGATATAATTTCATTTACCAGCTTGAAATAATTCAGCTATTAATATACAAGACTTCTAAGTTGGTTTCCTTTTGTGTTCCATTTTGAAACTTTAAATTCTCTTAAAACTTGTTCACCTCTCCACTCCAATGAAACCCTGCTTTAGCTGCTTTAGTAGGAGCCTAGTGCACTTTGTCAAATTTTTTCTTATCTTATTGATCCCTATCTTTTTTTTGTGGTTGGTTGTATTGAAGAGGAATGAAGTGCTTATATGGCTTGAGGAGTTTACATTGGATTAGCTTGTTCGCCACCCACTACTAATCTTGATCATCAATCTTGACTCTTTTCGTCAACTACTATGAGGGTTCAATTTCAGCTGATTTGGGGGATCACTGGAACAGCGTAAGGAACGCTGTAAAGAATATTTATTCATCTGTAAAAGGAATTACTTGCTTTCAATACTTGTAAAGAAATTGTAAAGAATTTACCTTAGATTATAAATCCCCCTCTCTCAGAGAGTTTTCATTACCTTTCTCTTGCCAGCGATTTGTCAACGGAAAGAATCTAGTGAGTTTTTCATATTTTCCCCCCATTTCTTTCTTGAGTTCTTTTGGTTTCAATTACCATTTGAAGAAACCGTTATTGCTTGCAGTCCTGTTCAGGTTTGTCGTTTAAACAGTTGATCATCTCATTAACTGATTGGTCTGTTACATGGAATGCCTCATTTGAATAAACATTATAAGTAGGCGGTAGAAAATGTTATGTGACTTGACTTATACTTTGTTTTCTACCACATTGCATCATGTTTGACATTTGACAACCATTTTACCTAATTTTTTGGGTGTTCTTCAGTATTGATTAAATCCATCTTTGAATTAAGTTGATGTGATCGGGCAAAACACTAGTGTTGTGTTTAGATATAAGATTTGATTTAGGATATGCAGAGGGGAAAGACAAAAACTAAAGGATAAATTACACCCGTACTTGTTGAGGTTTGGTTTTAATATAAATATTTACCTGTCGTTTTGGACATTACAATGACCTCCCTTTCTTTTTTTTTTTTTTTTTGGTCTCCCACGGTATCCCCAAGTTTTTTGGACCCAGGACTAATCCGCCGAGGAAGTTGCTGGGCGCATATGCGGGGTCTTCTCCCAAGGGGGTTTGCTGCATCCACAAAGGCTCGAACTCGAGACTTTACTTAAGCGACCCAAGTCCCTTTCCATTTGGACCAACTCTCATTGGTAATGACCTCCCTTTCAGAGTTTGTCGGTTAACACTCTAGAAAAATTAAAGTAACTTTAACGTCCGTGTTTGTAATCTCCTTGAGATGGACTAGGAGGTATAGGGTTTTTTTTTTTTTTTTTTTTTTCATCCACCCTTCTTTTACAACCCATCTCTCGCCATTCACTACTAACAACTTTAGTCGAGAATCTCTATAGTATTTCAGTAAACATGAGAGGGACAAAAAATCTCCAACTCTACCATTACTTTTACTTAAAAATATCAGGCAAAATAAAGTAAAAAAAGCAAGCGGGTCATGGCAAATAATTTAGAGAGAGAGAAAGATGCAGTGTAAATATTGTTGATTTTGAAGAAAAGTGCCACCGTCTAGATCAATAAAACAAAGTAATTTATGAAGTCAACAAGTAGTGTTAATGGTTTGTCAATGGAGTGGACAAATTGTAATGAAATTATGAATTTTAAGGAGAAAAATGTAATTTTTAGAACGTCGGGAAAGTTTTTGTAATAAAATTAAGAAAAAATTAGTGAAACATCTCTCTCTGACTTTGTGTAGTAGGAGAGGTCTAAGATATATTTTTTTTATTAGTTAAGATCCCTCAATATTTTCACAGAGAAAATTCGACTCAGAAAAATTTTACCTAACTCAAAATTTTTTTACCCAACTCAGAGAAATTTTAATTTTCATAGAAAACTTAAATTTTTTTTCCCTAAGATTAAATATGAAGAGATGTGAGTATAGTAAGTGTAACATTGTTGAGTTAGGTGGAAAATAGCTTCTCTTTCTAACTTAGATATTTTTGCCTATATATATACATATATGTGTGTTTAATGAACTTTTAAATTGATTAAATTATGAATTTGAGAAAAAATTAAAATTAAAAAAAAAAGATATAAAAAAATTTAACTTATATTTCATTCAATATTTTGTATTTATCTTTTTAATTTTTATCAAAATTTATGATATAATAACCACTTGTTAACTCCAAAACAGAAGTTGACAAAAACATTAAAAAAACATATCACATATCATGAGATTGACCTTACATCAATCCCAAATCGTTACGCATGAAGATTGGGCGATTGACCTGGTGGCCAACTTGACTCACCTCAAACCCAATCCATTTGTCATGGATTACAATCGTGGTACACTAAAATGGTTTTGAGTGTTGCTAATAATCCTCCACTTTTCTGTTTTGGATCTTACCTTTTATTTAATGTTTCTATTATAATTTAGGCAAATTACAACAAACCCCCTTCAACTATGCCTCAGTTTTAAATTGCCCCCTAATGTATAAAACACGACACTTAACCCCCTCTATGCATAAAGCATTTGACAATTAACTCCTTCCGTCAAAGACCCGTTAGGATTTGGATGAAATCTAGCCATGTGCTTGGTACATGACAAGGTAAAATCAACTTTGATGGACAAAAATACCCTTCTCAACCTTGTACCTCTCCCTATCTCCTTTATTGTCAAACAAAAGCGAGGGACAACTACCAACACCACACCTCCGCACTACCACAGATCTTCTCCGACTCCCACGACATTATATCCATCTTTGATAGTATGTGTTTGGCTAGTGTTGGATGGTGATTTGGATCGCCAGATCTCTATTTGAAAAATATTTAAGGCCCACAAAAAAACTCCCACAATTTGATCCAATGTGGTTTGATATATGTCAATTTTTAATTTGTCATATATTCAATTGTGTAGGCCTACCTCTCATGTCACATCATTGTAAATAATTTTAGAGATCTAAGTTGTTGGTCTCTAGCACTGCTCTCTCCATTTGGAGGGGTGATTTCAAAGAAGATTTATAGAGATAATGTGTTTGACTAGTGTTGGGTGGGGATTTGGATCTGCAGACCTCTGTTTAGGTTTGTGGGTGATTTGGGTGAATTTTGAAGAAGAGTTGGGTCTGTAGGTGTTAGTTGTGGAAGAAGCAAGAATGGTCGTGCTAGATTGGTTGGTATTGGTTGTAACTTAATCTTTTCTTTTCTAGTGGTAAAAGTAATTGGCCAACAACTCCAATTTCTAGTCCAACCTCAAGTTGTTTTACTTCTATGGTGTATTTCTCTTCCCCTTACTTAGCATCCCTTTTTGTTCAATATAGCCTCTTGGCTCTTTTTTGGATACTTTATGTAATGCTTTGTGAGTAATGAAAAGATCTTTTTATTTTTGCTTTGCGTTATTGCATTTTGTGCAAACTCTTTGAATTAAAGTATTACGTTGTTGAAACAATGCTTGGATGGCACTACTGGGGCACTAGGGGCAATTCTTCCAGAGCTGATTTTGCTCGTCTCTCGCCGAGTTGAATTCGCTCATCGAGAAGAAAGTTGGTGCTTTCCCCAACTTCACAGATTTAAACCCAGTTAATTTTGCTTGTCTCTTGCTGAGCTGAATTTGCTAGCCGAGAAGAGAGTTAGTGCTTTCCCTAACTTCAAAGATTTAAATCGAGTTGATTTTGCTTGTCTCTCGCCAAGTTGAATTCGCTCGCTGAGAAGAGAGTTGGTGTTTTCCGCAACTTCACAAATTTAAACCGAGTTGATTTTGCTCATCTCTCACCGAGTTGAATTCGCTTGCCGATAAAAGAGTTGGTGCTTTCTCTAACTTCACAGATTTAAACTGAGCTGATTTTGCTCATCTCTCACCGAGCTGAATTTGCCTACCGAGAAAAGAATTGGTGCTTTCCCCAACTTCACAAATTTAAACCAAGCTAATTTTGCTCATTGGAAAGAGAGTTGGTGTTCCCAAACCTTGGTCATTTGAATCGAGCTGATTTTGCTCGTTTCTTCCCTAGTTGAATTTGCTCACCGGAAAGAGAGTAGTGCATTTTCCCAGCTTTTTGTAATTTTAACTAAGCTACATTTGCTCATCTCTTCTCAAATTAAATTTTTCTCAATAGAAAAGAGGGATGCAACTTTGGATTCAGCTCGGCATTGAAGAAGTTGAATTTTTTTTTTTTTCCAAGTAGAAATTCTTTAACACCGAGTAGAATTTAGTATTTCACACAATTAGACAAATGTATGAGGAGAACAAAAGTTGGAAATTTTCATTCATACCCTGGAGTGGTTATATAAGGAAGGGTTACATCAAAAGAAGAAAAGGAAAATACAAAAGAAAGAGCAGATTCTAGCTAAGTCCCTAATCCAGGTTTACAGCATCATCCAGGTCGGTCACATTCTCATCTGTCACATCTATCGCATTCTATGCACCAAAACCAAGGCCCAGATCGGCATCTAGCTCGGCCTGGTCACTGCTTGAAGATGCTTCTTCAAAAATTACCGACAGTGGAGTGTTTTTCGGTGACTGCCACCTCGCTAGCCGTTTTCACCCCCTCAATTAGTTTTTACTACACGACAGTAACGTAAGTTTGCATATATGGAGGGATGAAGGTGAACGAGGGGTTCTTGAAGAAGTCAGACTCTAGCATATGGCCAAGTTTCTTCGTGGTGGCTTTCCAGCCACACTGGAAGAATATGTCCTTCGTGCTCTCTACTGGCCATTCATAAACTTTTTCCCTCTCCACATAGTTGCGGTCCTCTGCATCTTCAACTTGTTTCTTTACTTCAGCTTTGTGGGCAACTTGATGCTTTTGTAGCTCGTCAAGATACCTTACCTTTTTGGCCTAGTCCATCTTCTGTTTATCCTTGTAACAACCCCAACCCATGATTAACGTTAATCCATGCTTAAGTATGCCTAACAAGTAATTAAGAAGAAATTCTGAGTTAATTACATGTGCATTACATTATTTGTGTTTATATCTATTTAACGTAGAAAGATCTGTTCATGTTTTCATCCCGATTTGCGAATTGAAGGCCTTATCGGCATCCGATTCAGAAATTGACTTGATTTACGTGTTAATTAGAATTTTTAGAATTTTATGATATGTTTAATTGAAATTCGATTCAGAACGATTAAATTAGAATAATTAATGTCAATTAATTAACCAACTCTTAATTAAACCTATACAAGGCTAATATGACCCCACTAGTTCATTTTTGCACCCTTATTTCCTCACCTTCAAGCTCCAAAACGTGTAAGAGAGAGAGGAGGAGAGAAATTGGGATCAAAAGCTAGAGAAAAGGGGATTGCTAGTAATTATTGAAGAATTGAAGAACATTTAGAAGTTTGAGCCTCTACATTTGTGAATTCAAGGTTTAAGGTAAGACATTAAGCCTTTGGTATTGCTTTTGAGGTGATGAGTTTATGAATATAAGAGGTTCAAGTGTTTAACTTGAGAATTGAGTTTAAGAGCTAGAAAAGAAGGAATTTACATTAAATCATGCACATGCATGCACAATTTATGAAGTTTTGAAGATGTTTACGAATAATCCTCACGTGCATGCATTGATTATAGCTTTGTTTGAACTTTCATCAAATTTCATACATTTTTATCTCAATTGATCATGTTTTGGAAGAATAGAAAACATATCAATTCATGCATGATTTATATATTGAATTTCAGTTTGATTTTGGATAATTGTCAATGCTTTTGGGCTTTATTTTGTGAAATGGTTTCAATTCGTGATATATTATGAGTTTATACATGTTTTCTCGAGTTTTGAGCCCAATATAATGTGTTTTGATGCTTTGAAATTGAGTTTGGAAGCTTGAAGGCGAATTTGGAAAACCCAGAATTCGTACCCTCCGCTTGAGCGAAGGAATCCACACTCGAGCTACTACTCTGAGTGCGTACACTTCCGCTCGAGCGACTAGAAGTCCGCTTGAGAGTGAAATGCATGTTTCCAGAAGTTCTTATGTTTTGCAGGCCGCTTGAGCGACAAAAATTGCGCTCGAGCGAGGGCATGTCTCTCATGCTCGAGCGAGCGTCGAGCGAGTGTCAACCGAAAAAATCAAGCAACTAGCACTTTTGCAAAAGTTTATAGACCGCTCGAGTGATAGATCTTGCGCTCGAGCGACCACTCACATTTTGCATGTCCACTCGAGCGTAGGAAGTTACGCTTGAGCGAGGACTCTGTTTTCAACATATTTTGTTAAGTGTTTTCAAGTGCATTTTGGCATCCTCATTGCATTCTAGGTATTCCTAGGCCAAGATTAAGACACCTTAATGAGGATAAAGAAGTAGAAACATACTAAGGCAAGAAAGAACTAAGTTAATAATTCCGGGTGTATAATTCAGTACGTATTCGTTCTGTATCCGTGTAGGTCGGGAATTGCCTTCTTTGTCCGTTTACTTGGAGCCATCTGTTATCTGTGAGTAATAACTTAGTAAAGCTTTGTTCAAGTTAAATTATTTTCTATATATAGAATAAGATCTGTTTTATGAAATACTATGTTTTGTAATATGAATGATTGTCCAACTCTGACACATATTTGTGGTATTTATGGTGTGATTCAAGTACGTTATTTGTTCTCAAACCGGAGGTTCCGATATGGAACTAACAAGTTATTCATTCCCAGTCTGGAGGTTCTGATATGGAACTAACAATTTATTCGTTCCTAGTCCGGAGGTTCCTTTAAGGAACTGACAAGTTATCCGTACCCGACTGGAGGTTCCTCTATGGAACTAACAAGTATAATCTCTGATGCTCTATATATGATCTATTAGAGCTAACGGATAAACCATGTATGATCAAGCATGAATTCTGATTTCTATCAATGACTTAAACAAGAATACAAATATGAATCTATCCTATGTACGGACTTCATTATGGGACATCATTCATCTATCCCTTTACTCTGTTATTATTCACTGGGCTTCTGCTCACTATTTATATTATGTATGTAGGTGATCAGGCACGTGACCAAGCTCAGAGTTGAGGACCTGGCATCTCAGTTTTTGTCAGCCAACCTTTGTGCCTCCCGAAGAGGTTCCGGTTAAAGTCAAGTTTAGTGGCTGTAAAATTATGAAAATATAAGACTTGGTTCCTTTTGCTCCATGAACAAGTTTTTATGTACATGAAGTGACGTGTAAATATTATGTCTTTTGACGTCGCTCGTATGTTTATAAAAGTTTCATGTATGTCTTCACCGCTCGATGGACTATGTATATTTTATGTATTTGCTTCCGTAGCCCCTAATTATACATTATTATGTTAAGAGGCCTTTCGTAATCACGATGCTAAACCTATAGGGGCAGGTTTGGGTCGTAACAGAGTGGTATCAGAACACGTGTTCTACTGCACACACGAGTCCATATGAGCTTAGGATGTTCTAGTAAGAAGTAGGGGCATTCCATCTGCATATGTAAATAGGTGTTCATTGAAAGTGAAAACCTAAATCGGATTATAATGACATGATATGGAAACAAATGATTTGAATGTTGTAAAAAAGACTATTTGCCTATGTTTATAATGTTCTGTTTACCTATAGCCAATGGATAATACAAGAAGTGATGGAACAGTTGAATCATCTGAGGCTCGAATGAGCCACATGAAACAAATGCTAGCAGCTTTAACTGAGGCAATAGCTCAACAACAACAGAGGCAACAACAGAGGCAACAACCCTTACCTCCTCCACCCCCACCGATCTAAGTGGAGCTGGATAACAATGATCTCATAAATTTAACTCAAAAGTTCTTGAAGATGAAACCGCCAACTTTCTTAGGTGGTATTGAACCGTTAAAAGCAGAGACATGGTTACTTGAAATGGAGAAGCTGACGTTCAGAAAGTTCTTCTGGCCACCTATACTCTGAAAGATGAAGCCCGAAGGTGGTGGTTTCTAATCCGAAACAGTAATGGGAATATGACATGGGCACAATTTAATGCAATCTTCTATGATAAATACTTCCCTCGGTGCTTCCGAGATCAAAAAGTTTCTGAATTCCAAGTACTTAAACAATGCAGGATGTCCGCGACTGAGTATGAGGCCAAATTTACTGAATTGGCTCGATTTGCTCCACATATGGTGGATATTGATTACAAGAAGGCACAGAAATTTGAAGGTGGATTGGATCTGGAAGTGTTTGACCAAGTGGGTATCTTGAAATTGCCTACATATGTAGAGGTTTTAGACAGAGCGATAATGGCGGAAGCCACCCTAGTAGCAATGAGCCACGCCAAGGCACCAACAACAAAATGGAGAAATAAAAGACCAGGATCCAATTTTCGGAAGGGCCGTTCATTTTCTACGAACAAAAAGCAAAATACTGGATCTTCATGCAGCCCAAGCCAAAGCAGTGGGTCTATGCCAATCTGTTCAGAATATGAAAGGAAGCATAAAGGCATCTGTCATCGTGGATCGGGCGCGTGTTTTCGGTGTGGCAAAATTGATCACATGATTAAGGACTGTCTAATGAGGTTTGACAATGCAAACCATCCAGGAGCAAGTTTGGCTGGATCTACTCCTGTAACGAGGCCCAATGCACGAACCAACACCAGGAATGAAACACTAAGGCAGGGGAGTGTTTGCTCTAGTACCCAGAGATGTACAGAATACTGAGCAGCAGTGTCAGGTATACTTTATATCTGTGCACAGAAAGCTTATGTGCTGATTGATTCTGGTTCTATGCATTCATTTGTATTGCATGTTTTTTCTCGGAAGTTGGCTAGATCATTAGAACCCATAAATTGCATACTATCTGTGTTTACACCACTGGGAAGTTCTATGATGTGCACTTATGTATATCCTGCATGTGATGTTTTGATTGGTGATATGACATTGTACGTTGATTTGCTGCCTTTGAGCATTGACCACTTTGATTGTATATTGGGTATGGATTGGTTGTCGAAATTTTGTGCCGCTATTGATTATGTAAATAAAACCGTCACGTTTGAACCACCTAGTATGCTTGAGTTTGTATTCATAAGGAATGGGGTAGTTTCTCCACCATACTTGATTTCATATATGAAAGCCAGAAAATTGTTGAGAAAAGAGTGTCGGGGTTACTTATGCAGTGTGTTGACTATGTCTTCGGATAATACCAGCGTGGAACCTATTCCTATGGTTTGTGATTTTTCGAATTTGTTTCCTAATGACCTACCTGGGGAGTTAATTGATAGGGAAATTGAGTTCACTATTGATATAGTACTCGGGACACAACTGATTTCTAAAACTCCATACAGTATGTCCATTACTGAACTAAAAGAATTAAAAGTCCAACTCCAAGAACTTTCAAATAAGAAATTTATCCGCCCGAGCACGTCTCCTTGGGGTGCTCCAGTCTTGGTTGTAAAGAAGAACGATGGGTCATTGAGATTATGTATAGATTATCGCGAGTTGAATAAAGTAGCTGTGAAGAGCAAATATCCACTACCCCGAATAGATGACCTATTTGACCAACTCCAAGGAGCCCAGGTGTTTTCTAAAATTGACCTTTAAAGGTCAAGGCAGAAGACATAGAGGAAACTGCATTTAGAACTAGATATGGGTGCTATGAATTTTTGGTAATACCATTTGAGGTAACTAATGCACTTGCAGCGTTCATGGATTTAATGAATAGATTGTTCAAACAATTTCTGGATGAATTTATTATTTTTATTAATGATATATTGATTTACTCCAAAAACAGGAAAGAACATGAGAATCATTTGAGAACTTCCTTACAGATTCTGAGAGAAAAGAAATTGTAGGCAAAATTGTCCAAATGTGAATTCTAGCTTGATAGTGTGGCATTTTTGGGGCATGTAATCAACAAAGATGGTATCTTTGTTGACCCACAGAAAATTGAAGCTATTGTGGACTGGCTTAGACTGACAAATGTGTCAGAAGTTAGAAGTTTTCTGAGACTTGCAGGTTACTACAAAAGATTTGTGAAAGACTTTTCAAAACTTGTTATGCCATTGACCCAGTTAACCTAGAAAAATGTCACGTTTGATTGGAATGATCAAAGAGAGTCCACCTTCCAAGAATTGAAAGCTAGACTGGTAATTGCACCAATCTTGACTTAGCCAAATGGAACAGATGGGTTCCAGATTTATAGTGATGTTTCCTATAAAGGCTTGGGTTGTGTGTTAATGCAAAATGGAAAGGTAATTGCTTATACTTTTCGGCAACTCTGACCACATGAAAAAAATTACCCGACTCATAATCTTGAACTAATAGTTGTGGTTTTTGCTTTAAAGATTTGGGGTCATTATTTGTTTGGTATGACTTGTGAAGTGTATACAGACCATAAAAGTCTCAAATATTTCTTCACCCAAAAAGAATTGAACATGAGACAGAGAAGATAGTTAGAGTTAATCAAAGACTATAATTTACAGATTTTGTATCATCTATGGAAAGCCAATACAGTCGCAGATGCTTTGAGTCGAAAGTCCATTACCAATTTGTCATGTTTGCTCACCGGTCAGAAAGAATTGCTATGTGACTTGGAAATGAACAAGATTGAAGTTGTATTGCAAGAACAAAGTGGGATCTTGGCTGCCATCTCCATTCAACCTGCGATTATTGAAGAAATCAAAGAGAAGCGACTGCAAGATGAATTTCTGAAAAAGATTGTGGATGAGATGGACCCAAAACCAAGGCCGAGATTTATATTCGCAAACGATGTGTTGAAATTTCAGAGCAGACTTTGTGTGCCAGATTGTTTTGATTTGAGAAAGCGTGTTATGACTGAAGATCATGATTCTAAATTTGCTATGTAGCCAGGGACTACAAAGATGTATCATAATTTGAAACAGAATTTCTGGTGGCCTGGAATGAAAAAGAGCATTGTAGATTTTGTAGCCCGATGTTTGTATTGCCAACAAGTCAAAGCCGAACATCAACAATCCACTGGTTTATTACAGCCGCTTCCAATATCGGAATGGAAATGGGAGCACATTACTATGGACTTCATTGTGGGATTACCTCGCTCTCCTCGAGGTATGGATTCTATCTGGGTAATTGTTGATCGTTTAACAAAATTCACATATTTCTTACTTGTTAAATCACTGTATAATGTGGATAAGTTGGCTAATTTATATGTTAACGAAATTGTGAGATTACATGGCGTACCAGTATCTATTGTATCAGATAGAGATCCTAAGTTCACTTCAAGATTTTGGCAGAGTCTACAGCAAGCTCTAGGAACTGAATTAAGGCTAAGCAGTGCTTATCACTCACAGACAGATGGTCAATCTAAACAGACCATTCAAATATTGGAAGACTTGTTACGGATATGTGCTCTAGACTTTCAAGGTCGTTGGGAAACCTACTTACCGTTGGCTGATTTTGTGTATAATAACAGTTACCATTCAAGTATTGGTATTGCTCCTTATGAAGCTTTGTATGGTAAAAAATGCCGATCTCCGATCTGTTGGGCTGAGGTAGGTGATAAACCGTTGTTAGGTCCAAAACTTGTGCAAGAAATGACTGAAAATGTGAAATTGATTTAGCAAAGACTGAAAACTGCACAAAGCCGCCAGATGAGCTATGCCGATGTTCGAAGAAAAGACAGGGAATATGAAATCAGGGACCATGTATTTATCAAGGTGACTCCAATGAAAGGCCAGATACAGTTTGGCACGAAAGGCAAATTGGCACCAAGATATGTTGGACCCTATGAAATCCTTGAGAAGATAAATTTAGTGCCGTATCGGGTAGCTTTACCACCAGTCATAGAACATATGCACAATGTATTTCATATCTCTATGCTTCGGGATTATTTGAGAGATCCACTCCATGTGATAGAACCGACTCATGTGCTCCTGAAAGATGACTATACGTATGAAGAGAGGCTGATACAAATTGTTAACCAAAGAATCAAGAAATTGAGAAACAAGGAAATCCATTGGTGAAAGTCGATTGGCAAAATCATGAAGGGACCTATGTAACTTGGGAGACAGAGGAAGATATGATGAAAAGATACCTGGAACTATTTCCTTTGGACCTGGTATTCTTCCAAAACAAAGGTAATTCGAGTTTAGAGGACCAAACTCCTTAAAGGAGGAAGACTGTAACAACCCTGACCCATAATTAACGTTAATCCATGCTTAAGTATGCCTAACAAGTAATTAAGAAGAAATCCTGAGTTAATTACATGTGCATTGCATTATTTGTGTTTATATCTATTTAACGTAGAAAGATCTGTTCATGTTTT